TATGTATATGTATATGTATGCATGTGTATGTATATATGTATGTATGTATGTGTGTATGTATCTACATGTATCACATGTATCTATGCATGCATGTATGTATGCTATCTATGTATCATGTGTGTTATATGTATGTGTGTATGTATATAGATGTATGTGTGTATAGGCATGTGTGTACTATGTGTGTGTGTGTGTGTCCATATGTCTCTCATTACGACGGTGTAAGCATGCATATTTACACCGGGTTTTCAGACACATTCTGTCCATGCTTGCAGTCGGACTTCTGGGACCTCTGCACTGAGATGATTGAAAGGCAGGAGGACGAGATCCTTGCAGGGAAAACCACTTTTCAGAAAATTGCGAAAGCTGGTGCCATCCTCTTCCTGAATCGCTTGAATCAGGGATGAGTTTCACAATCTTGTTTGGGGTCTGTGCTGTCCGAAAGGATATGCAGATTTCAAGAGTTATCATGATTAAGTTCTACTCAGAGCTGCTGTCTGTACGGAAGTGACCATCAGTCGACGTGTGCATGTCAGTCGTGTACGTGTTGCTGCCAGATTGACCGATGCTCCGGCATTTTCCGTGTGAAGGAAAAACGAGGTCGTGCCTTCTTTTGTTTCCTGCCAAAGCAATCCTCGAAGTTCCTCTTGCAACAGTAGCACTGTAATCCCAAATCTAGCCCCCGCAACCTCTGCCCAGGTCAGTTTCTGGATTGTCATCCAGGACGACGAGGCGACCCATCCCGACCATCAAAAAGAAGTTGGGTTCAGGTGCGCTCCTCCCTTGGGCCTTGCATGTCTTTTCAAGCTTGCAGCTTCATTTCAGGACTTGTGTACCCGCATGCACACGGGATCAAGAGAAATGCAAATCGCCACGTCTGCAGTTTTTCAGATTAGATGGTGCATGTGTTGCAGGGCGTCTGTTGGTCAGATCTCGACATACTTTCAAAGGGGTGCTGGGTGTCCAACGGTTGTATACTATAGGCTGCTTGTTCGTGCATCGGCGGGGAAGCATGTTTGAGCAGCAAGAGCAGCAGAAGATACTTCGCAATTTGCTGAGAATCCGGTCGCCTAGTGTGCCCGGGCAGCATTCAGTGCGATGTATGCATCCAGGATGTTGTGCGACTCTGGGTTTAGCTGACACCATTGGTGGTCGAGGCTCTGGTGCTGTGTGTTTACCTTCTGCTCAACATTTGGAGTCTCGACTGGGACAAGGCTGTGCATGCTGGCACGTTGAATGTACAGATTGCTGCCACTGGCATGTGTGTCCAACCTGTGAGGCCTATGACTTCATCGAGGTCTGTGCAGGCTCGGGACGCCTGTCCAGAGTCATGGGCTATGCTGGCTTTCAGACGGCGTCGTTTGACATAGTCTATTGGGACAAGTATGTCAATGATATCTTCCACCGTCGTTCCACTTCGGGGAACAACCCTTTGGACATGCTCAGTCCAGCAGGGATGGCGATGCTCATCTAAAGCTATGTGTTATGGGGGTGATCTGTGTATAAATGAAGTATCCTGTCTATATATATATATA